AATATAACAAATTTTATCAATTTTTATTGTTTAGAAATCAATTGAATGTTAACAAGTAAACATTCTCCATCCAAAATTATTGTTCTTCCGACGTCTGATTTCTTTTTAATTATAGGAAACGCGTTTTTCTAAGGTACATAAACTTTTGGGATTGACTGTATAGCCAATGCATCCTTAAATCATACCTATTGAACTTCCGAGTATCTCATTTTCACCATCGAACAGATGAACGCGTCAGTTTCATATATGTTTTCCCCATTCTGTCATAATGAATAGTGTAACCTAAATCGGAGCTTTTCGCTCAACATCCCCGAATCGTTGAGAGAATGTTACAAACAATATCTTAGGAATGCGAAAATGAAAAGATCCGTTTTGTTGCAATGCTTGCGTTGCTTAGCGGAATTGATCGCGTTCGTGGCGAATGAATTTTGCTTGACCTTACACGAGTGCATTTTAGGAACTATCCTCGTGCAACTGACGGGAGAGAAATCATTGCAATGGGTAACATCGTCTTCTTAGAACAGCGATGATCATTGTTAGAGCTCGCTCCTGTTTCCTAGTGCGGGCTGCCCTATTGATTTCCCATTTTCCTTTTTCAGACGCAACGTTTTGTAAATCGCAAAACGCTTATCATCCATAAAAAACACTTCCTCGTGGACTGAATAAGGACAAAAACGAGGAAACGTAACGCATTGTCTCGGTAGGAAGACGATCAAAGGTAAAATATAAAATATAAAGTACACAGACGTACATAATTGAAAGACAACAGAGAGAATAAAGTTTCGCGCTCTGTTTCCGTTTTTGTCCACGTTCATTCACCAACGACGAGCAGAGCATTCTTAATTACCTTTATTTTCTATCAAAGCTAATGTAAAAACTGCGAATCTTACGTCGAGCAAAGGAAACGTACGGCTGCTTCAGCGCTAAACTATCGCCTGTTTTTCAGTTCATTCTCTACATTTTTATTCTTGGCACGTTGATTCTAATCCTCGACTCGTATGCCCGTCCAGTGGAGATTCCATTCGAGTACGAAGATCCATTCGTCCTGTGCCATTTTAAACAGATACACCTGCCACAACGAGCGATCGAGATCGCGCGACTTAGCCACGGGGGAAACGTCGTACGAAAATCCTTGACCCACGGACCGAGGAAGGACGCGGTTCACTTCTTCCTTGGCACTGTCGATAATCGCGAACGCATTAAACGGGCATCAAAGATTGCCCCGCGTATTCAACGCTAGTTCGAGGGATTCTTTCGCAACGAGCGGAATATGCAAATGGATGCAAATCACACGTTGGAGAGGAATGCCTGGGGACAATAGGACGAAACAAGATTCGTGAATGACTACGCGATAAAATGGAAATTCTAAGGTCACAAAGCTAAACCGGTACAGCGAGAAAAGCAGAATTCACGCAATCAGAATTTCTCAATTAATCCTATAAGTTCTCCTGATTCATCCAAAGTATACAATTGTTCTTTATCATACTTGGCCTGCATGACGAATCGAAATAAATGCCAGACTTTTGTGCTTCACAGATTGTTTTCAATATTAAAATATAAATCGTGTTTTCCCAAATTCCGAATTGCTACGTGATATTACGTGTTTTCATCGTTACGTTTCATCGAAATGCTTGCTTATTAGTCAAGTATAATAAAGTTTCAATGACGATGAAGCTTGTAACGAGACCGCGTGCAAATAAGTTATTGATTAAATTTTCCTCTCATCATGAACGGCGTCAAATGATTGTCATACGAAGAAATGATAATGTTACATCGCGTATATTCGTTTCAGACTCCGAAATATTTAATTGTAAAATATACTGAATTAAATCAGAGAATGATAAAAACAATAAATGAAATAAATTTTAATAAACAGGGCATTATTCGAACGAATGTACGTTTAAAACATCGTGTAATTCCATTCATAGTTCTGCTTAGAGAAATTCATCACATTTGTTTAACTTCACGGATCTCTTAACACGAAACGCGAAGGAATGTCTAGCTTTTCGTGGTCGGCTGTAAAGTGTTGGAACAGTAATGAATTCCCTTTGCAAAGTTCTGTAAATATCCAGATTATCAGAGTCTCCCCTTTGTTGGATGTTAAGCTTTCGTAGCCTTACGGACTTGTACGGACGCTTGTACGGGAATTCCCTTCGGTAATCAGCGCGATGAAATTACTGTTAAATATTTCGAATGAAACTGTGCGCACGATTTTATTGGTCCAGTTACGAGAAGACGGGGGTTGAAGCGGAGGGTTGGGTGCGTGGCGGGTGAGCGCCTGGTGAGCAAAAGGTGAGCAACTCCGGGAGTCGTCACTTGTTCACCATCCGGCAAACGGTACACTTTTAAGATCCCGTCGTGAGATTTGCAGTTTTTATTTCAACGGTATCGCGACGACCCTGTAGAAAATTCTAATGTCAACTCGGCGGGAGAGTAACATTGAAAGAGTAACTCGTTGAAACATGAAGAGATTTCTGTGGACTCAGCGACACGAGGAGAACGGATTATTACAAATTATTTGTTGCGAAAGGGAGATAGCCGGTAGAAGAATGTTAATTCTCTTTCGAGTGAGTGAGGTCGTTTATTGCCGCGTGACTCAAATAAGAAAAGCGACCGAACGGTCTCGCGAATAGTGACTGATTGTGAGACTCGTGAATAATGAACGCGTCGGGCGACTATTACGAGAACATTAGCGATGAAGCGGATTATTTGGAAAGGGTACGGGGCCCCAAGTATTTACCCTTGACGCTGGTACTTCCCGTCACTCTCGCGTACGTTTGCATCTTTGTAACCGGATTCGTAGGCAACGTGATCACCTGCATTGTTATTTTAAGAAACACGACTATGCAGACTGCGACGAATTATTATTTATTCAACTTGGCGATATCCGATTTGCTGCTTTTGGTGTTAGGTAAGTTTCTACGTGCATAATATGCAACAATTCCAATTCGAATTAAATTGAACGAAATTAAAAGATGATAAGATTATGCAACACTACATGTTACGTGCATCATTTGTTCGGATAGATCAAGAATTATGTCAGAGCTATACTACATGGTTCTAAGCTTCTTACTTCTGATGATTTATGTCATTGCAACCCACTATGAATGAAAAATAGTGTTAAACCTGTTCGGTTTCGTCTAATTCATAATCGAATAGAACGTCGGATGCAGTGTTTTGAAAAAATTTAAACGAACGTGTTTCATTGATGAAAATCGTCGATATTTACTACTTGTGGGATAGTGGGACTACCATCGTGCATCGTATTTCTCCAGTTCGTGACGGAAATAAAAACTAATATGGGAAAAGGAAAATATATGGTAGCACTTGGCAAATAGTTACAATTTTCTCTGCTTAAACTGTTCGTACGTTCAAGCTGCGATGAGTTGCAAAGTCCAAAGGTTATAATAACTTCCAGTATGTACATACGAAATGAGATAATAAGATTATCCAATAGTTATTAATTTTATTTTAAAGCCTGGCAGACATATGTACTTTGACTCCTTAGAACTTAGAGCTGTGTTCATTTAATGTTCGCAAAATAAGTTTATACACATCATGTTAAGGTAAAGTAACTGAAAAAACAAGTTATTGCATATGATATTTCTAACTGACTGACTCTGTACAAAATTTTTGATCGCATAATGTGATGTCAGAGAATAGGAGCAAAGGTAAAAAGCATTGAAATGTCAAAGTGTAAATATGTGGTTTATTATCTATTGTCGTGGTGTTCGATTCTAAATTTTATGGCGAAATTTTTTTGGCGAATTGTGTTTGCAGGATTGTCATGTACCTAACAAGTCGTCCAATCTGCTTCGAAGAAACGAAGGAGATCGTCACTCATTTGTCCGCTTTTTTTTGTAACAGATCGAGTTGAGATCCGAATAAATTTGTGTAGATCGATGTATGCAAACCTAGTTAATCGACATTTACTCACTTTTATTTAATAGACTCTTGTTCTTCAATTATTTAATTATAGTGCAACAGCTCGAGTCGGCGGAGTGTGAAAGGAGTTGACTTCCTCGTTAAGTCAATTACCGCATCCGCGATTCGCACTTTCGAAACATATTTTCTGTACTCGTTCAAGCTTAAGAGAATCTTAATTATTCGCAAATAAGTCGATCGCAAAGAGAAACTGAACGACTGCAAACGATATCTCTTTGAGCGTGACGATTCTACAACCATTTTATCATTGTGTAAATTAATAATTGCGAAGCAGTGGGCGTAATTAACGGAAAAAGCTTAAGTACGGACTTTGTGATCGATTTTCAGGCTTACCCTTCGAATTGAACATATTTTGGCGACAATATCCATGGCAATGGGGAGTGGGCATATGCAAACTGAGAGCGTACGTCTCCGAAACGTGAGTCGTCGAAATTCTAGATAAAGATGACAAATGTCGATAATTCTAGCATTACGGCAGATAATGCGGGGGAGATAGTACTTTGAAAGAATCGCAATTTCCTTGTTTGAAGGTCCTCTTACGTGTCGGTTCTAACTATAGTGGCGTTCTCGGTAGAAAGATATTTGGCGATCTATCATCCACTTCGTCATTACGGGAGTGGTCTGAAGCGTTCAATGCGATCTATATTCGGTATATGGCTGATAGCTTTGATTTTTGCTATCCCGTTCGCTGTTTACATCGACGTCGATTACGTTGAATATCCAGAAAGTGAGTGTGCCTTTCGGACATGATATTTTTTCCTGTGTTCTCTATGTTTTTAAACTAGTAGACTAATCCTTAAAGGTGCCATGCCATAAAGTACATCGTATAGAGTTACACGTTTTTGTCTAAAGAAATTTCGCGTCTAAGCATGCCGGAGAACAAAATTGGACATCTTGTCAAAAGTTTCGAAGTTGAAGACTAGATTTACCAATAGTACGTATCGATCTTGCTTCCCATTACAAAACGTCCGATTAACGCCGATGTAGCAAATACGGATCCATTATCGAGGTTGATATTTATTCAGCATATACCATTGTAAACTGTAATCGAGTTTCCGTTTGTATCATACAGAAAATCCATTGAATATCGCGTTGGTCAGTATAGATGGAAAATCGGGAATGTCAGTTGAGAACAAACGGAAGCAAAGTGCGCGTGTCAAAATCGTTTGTTGACGCATGCAGTTTCGTCGTGAGGCAGACATCCGCGTTTCATCAGCTGTCGGACGAGTTCCCCTTTCAAAATCGATCCGCGTTGCTTTATTTTTCTCCTTTTCTCTCCAATCGTTGTTTCAGCACGCTAATCGCTACGCCGGTGCGTCCCGCTTTTCAGATTCGAAACTGTTCGAAGAATCCGCGATTTGCGTGATGTTAAGAGAAAACATGCCCGACTTCCCGATTTGTCAGCTCAGCTGTACCCTCTTCTTCCTCGTGCCGATGGCATTTATCGCGGTGCTCTACCTGCGGATAGGGTTGAAGATACAAAAAGACACGCTGTCGATGAACGTCGAGGGATCTGTTCATGGGGAAACGAAGCAGGCTCAGTCACGGAAGACCATCACACGAATGCTGAGTAAATGTTTGGTCTTAAATAAATATCACCCAACGACACTGGTTCCTGTGGAATTTCAATGCGTTCCTTATAAATACGTTGATCAGCCTCGCGTACCTCACGGCTGTAGTATGAGTAAACACAGAAAATCCGCTGATTTACCCGCGACGACAGGCTTTATTCTGTGCGGGTGGTATATTATTATATCAGGGAGCGTGTTCAGAAATTGACGAGGAAACCGATGTCGATATCCAAGTTTCGCGGCAGTGCACGGGAATGTCATATTGCGAGACAATTGTCACCTTGTCGATAAAGCGTAACGAGCAAAAATGCATCCCTAGGAAATATGTAACACGCATACATATCTATCGAACAAGATATATTACCGCGACGTGTGGCGTCTTTAGATTTTTCTTTTTGCTCCCTCTATTCAGAGCTAACAATTTTATTTCACTCCTTCAATAACGTTTGCACACGCCGCCGTATCAATATTTGCATTAGAGTGGTCTCAAAAAGCATTGCCGCATAACCAAATCTTTTGATATCTCAGATTTTACATTTCAAGTTCCATAAAAGCGCTGTTAGCTAATATGATATGGTGAGATACAGATAGATTTCTATTTCCGCAAAAGTTCACTCTGATATCTGTTTCCAAGAAGTTAAAAAGGAAATACGCGTATATATATATATATATATACATATATTGTCTTCAAATGAAACTTGTTATAAACTTAAAGAATATTTGTTACGTGTCTTCGGGGTAACTTTGAGGGCTGGGTGAAAAGAAATCGTGCGGCTTGGTTCCACAGGTGCTGTGGTGATCACATTTTTCATCTGTTGGGCGCCGTTTCACGTACAGCGTCTGTTATACGTGTATCAGGTCACGATGTCCGACGATGTGAGTCAATGGGTGTACGCGCTCACCGGTTGTCTTTACTACTTCAGCACGACCATCAATCCCATTCTATATAATGTGATGAGCGTGAAATACAGAAATGCTTTCAAGGAAACTTGTCGGTGTTCACCGAACAATCCATCCATTAGCAGAGTTGGCCTGACAATGAGTAGCATGAGGGAATCAAGTACAATTTGTGGCGCCGGGCCTAGCGGAGGATCCCAAGTGTTTCGAGTAAGAAGCGTGAATTATCATCGTACCATGAAGTAAGTTCAGCTACACTGTAATTAAAGACATGTCCCACGGGATCTTCCCTCGTTCTTAGTTAATTTGGCGTCTATCTTCGTGTATTGTTTCCAATTATCAGTATCACGTTAAATTGCCTTCAAGGTATATAACTGACGTTGATGTTAAAAGAATGCTAACATTTTCGGGAATTTTTCGCTCCCGGTACAGGTACAGCATGACGGGCAGCGTCGAAAACAATTCGCGCGTGACAGCTCAATTAAATTCGGACGATGACGAGAGAGTGAAACGACGTAACACGGTTGCGAGCGATTCATTGACGGCGGACAAAAGTGTGCATTTTTTACAAGAGCCAAAGAAGTTGGCGTTCCTCGTACAGGCGAAAAACGGACGTCTTAAATGCCAAATGTCCGATAACTCCCACGCGCTGTCGAACGAGACGCATATTTGATCGCCGAGCCGTGAAAGAGAGGTGAAACAAAAAATCCGATTGATCCTTTGGAACAAAGAATTAATCCTAATCTCATGGTCACAATATCGTATTCTATAAACTATAAATCCTTGAGATGAGGGATTACTTTCCGCGACGCATCTCTAATCTTCGACTTATCTTGTTAAGGTGAAGGGTTCGCGTGTATCGAAATTCCTTCACCGCTTTGGGAGCAACGAAAAACTGGGTTTCACGTGCACGCTAGAATCGATTGAGAATATTAAACAGCCCTTTGATGGCCGTGAAATTTCATTTGGGAGTATTAGGGGTAGGAAGTATGTACATATGAATGTCTTCTTTTTATTACGCTTAACTAGTCTTTAAAATATTCATATCAATAAAAGCTACTGCTACAATTTCAGAAACGATGAAAGCGGGTGAACAGAAAAATGAAAGTGTTAAAATGTGCAGAGTACTGATGTTTTATAACGATCTCGAATGTTATAAACTGTACTCACTTTTTAACACAGTATCGATGTGGTTTCGGTAACTCATTGCACTTAACTGTTGATATCAGCTCGTTCCGAGTGCAACACGAATCTGCAACTTTATCAGTGGACCTGAATCTATTAAGCGCGTAAATACGTCTCGTCTGAAATTGTAACAAGCATATATTACCACATTAAATGTCGCTTTATATTACGTCTGGTAATTTATATCCTTATTCAAACTCAAATCCCCCTTCTATTTTTATACGATTTAATATATTCCTTTAATGCGTTTCATGAAATGTAGATCTAGTTATTTTAAGAAGTTACGAATTCCCGAATTCTAGAAAACGATGGCGTTCTTTTAGCCATATATTACTCGATATGGAGCTCACCTTAGTACTGCCAAGAGCTTTTTAAACATTCAAGACTTGGAAACTTTTTTCGAACGAGTTGAGGAAGGAAAAGGAAAGGTGAAGATAGTCGTCGATATTTTCCCATCTAATATTTGCCACCATCGAATATGGAAAATAAATGAATAAAGATTTTCGAATATCCAATTCTCTCTCTCTGTATTTACTCTTGGATGAAAGCAGAGAACATATTACCTACTGTGATATTTTTTATCAACGAAACTGTGCAACTTTAATCTGAAATAATGTACCTCAATGTTTTTAAAAAATATTGGTCTTTTCTCAGTCAATGAATTTTCTACAAAATTTTATTGCTTCTCTGAAAATTATTGAAACTTTCAAGACGTTTTCAGACACGCTTTGAACTTTACGAACAAATATTTAATATTTTAAATTCAAATTAGAGTAATCAGGCGTAGCTTTAATATTAAAGTTGTAAGTCTTCGTTGTGAACAATTAACAGCATAGTTTTGATATACGTATAGTAATATACTACTAGGAAAGGAGGTAATTGATGCACTTGTGCACTAAAATTATTTAAGAAACATGTTGAACCAGCGTAAGTCATGTATCACTTTGAAAATTATTCATATCGTAGTAGATATGCATTTGGAACGGTACCGTAACTCATTCAAATATTTAAAGTACAATCTCGTAAGCAATAATTTTGGAAAAATGAATCAGACTCTGATTTTGACTCGACGCAAGTAATATAAACATCGTTTATGAGTCGATTGTTGGAAATACATACCTACAAGTGTTGGTGGGGATTGGAAGAATTGAACCAAATGCAAGTCGAGCGCGGAAAGCCGAACGTTGCCGATTCATTGTTCGACCGTATTCGGTCTCTAGTCCGAGAACCCGAACCGAAGCCGAACGAACCAACGAACGAACCGAAACACATGCCATATTCATTGCTACTCTTAGAACGTGTGTTCGCGTGTTGTGTCCATTGTTTAGTGTCCTCGGTTTTTCTTACTACTGTCGCATAATCAAACGTGCGTATAATCACATTAAAGTGACACGCGTTAGTATCATTTTTTTCTTTGCTCCGTCGTAATATTGGACATTGATCATAACGAAGAGTCAGTATGGCGGTAACGAGCGATGCGATGTATAACATGAGGAGAGCCGCTGTTCAGTCGTTCGTGTCGTCAAACATGTTACGTGGTTACGTGCCGCATTGTCGAAAAGAAAATCAATTCGCTGGTACCTTCGGATACGGTGGACTCACGAAATCGCCGATATTCAGTCATCAATCTCACGATGTAGATATGGAAATTGATGACATCGGTTACGATTATTCTATGAGATCCCTGTGTTTGAATAAAGGTCCTGTAGTTGTAGAAGTCTCGATAGAGCATCAGCTAAAAGCCGACGAGAAACAATTTCGCTCGGCGGCAGTTCACGACACGAACGCGCTTCGACGCAGGAACCGGAAACGATGCAACGATGATTCCTGCCCTGCGAGCCAAATGAAGAAATGCCGGAAAGGTAGGATAGGATTTATAATATTACTATTTGTGTAATGTATTTTTATAAAAAGCATATGCGTACATATGACTTCTCTAATTGTCAAGACAAGTTTTGCAAGACCGCAATATCAATTCATATTCGTACATGTTTCAAAGATGTCTTGTTAGAGGTCGTGTCTCCTATCTTTATGTTTTGGCGGGAGAATTTTTACGCGCGAAAAGATATTTATGATGATTAAAATTTATTGTGTGTGTCGAATAGTTTTAGTTGTGTCTAGAACAGAAAAAGAAAACGCGTGCCATGTTTGTGATCGTGATATATGTTTAATTGGATCGCTTTAGTTTTATATTCGCTATTAATGAATGTTAGAATATATGTATATACATTTGCCATTCCATTATGAGGAAAAGGTTGTATGTATATTTACATCTAGCCACAGAGATTTTCATCCGATGCTGGCATTAAATTTATTTTGAAGCTTAATGCATCCTGCACCTTCTGCACCATGGATAATGGTATGCAATGGAAAGCACAAGGATGCTAATATTTTTTCATAGACTAAATGACATTTAGTAAGTTCGATCTTTTTGCGATGGTAAGGATATAAATTGCCGACAAAATGGTACACGCAGAAGATATCTAACCGAGTCAAGAGTTAAGGCAGTGGGTTTCCTTTCAGAGGCGGTGGTAAGGACAATATACATTTTGACACGAGAAGTACAAAGGACTATGGATCGACTGGTGTGTCTTCAAAGTCGGAAACTCTACATGTAAATACCATCGATACAAATATGGAACAATTTATGATTACCAACAATAGTTCTTGGGCAGCCGGTAGTCATGATCCATTAATTAGTTTAAATTGTAGACAATTATTGTCTAATGATGGGTGCAAATTAATTGAAAATGATATTGAATACGAAAAAATTTTATTCGAGACGCACGGGTGCTCTGCCCATCAGTTCCACAGATTGCAACTACTTGACAACGATTGCATTGAGACAGAGTTTTAAGTCAAGTGACAACTATTTTTAATGTTTATATTTTTTGTATTTTTGTCACAAAGCATACATTCTATGCACTCTGACATGTATTATATAATTAAAAATAAATACTTACTTTTCTAAACTACGATCTTTATTAATGCGGATTATGTGTAAAAAAAGATGAATGCATTTGATGATTATCATCGATTAATTAATGCTCTAAAAAGTATTTAAGGCAATGGATAATAATACTTAGAAAAATGTTCCATCCGACATTAAAAAATGATTCCCAGCCGATCGCTGTTCGTCCTCAACAGTTAGGTTTTCAAACTCCATTTCGAATCTGGCTTGAGCAGACTCTGTCTGACCAGCTGCCTCACCTAGATCCTCTTCATCCTTTTCTTCGTTATCGGGAAGCTGTTAATGCATTTTAATTATATTTCTGGCTCCATTAGATACTTGTAATCAAAATGTGATCTTGGATTACCTGTTGATTACCAGTGGATTCAGGCCTTGATTGATCTGCTTCTGCTAAATCTTCATTGTTACCTGGTTTAATAGGAGATAATTCAGGTAAAGCACAAGCGGTGTCAGCGAAACCTGATGCCCCCTGTAAAACGAAAAGTACATTGAATCGTCTCTTAATGAAATACTCCGATTTTGTGTTAATTAACAAAACTTACTATTGTGTTTGAGCGATCTATTAATGGAATATGCGCTGTAGGAGATGATGCAGTCGCTGTTTCCGATGATGCAACTAATTCTCCCATAGACTGATTCCCTGCTCTCCTACCCCATCTACTCCACACTACTCCATCTACTTCAGAATCTTCATCACTGGACTGACAACTTTCACTTGCAGTGTGATCAGTCGTTTCATTCTATGAAATATTACAAGATAAAAACACATTTACTGTATAAGCGTTACGTGCGAAAACTAGTCAGAATTGTGCGTTATACAAACCAAAGGATTGCTTAAAGACTGTGCATCACATTGTAGAGCACGCAACGACCTCAATAAACGAGGTCGTAATCTGTGATCCTCGATTATTGTCTTGATTTTCCTTAATATGATAACTAAATAATATGGTCCTTGTTTGTTTGCGGAGATGAGTGAACTTAGCACTTCTCTCATTTCGGAACTACGTAATAAATGTTATTTTAAAAAAAAATTTAATATGCGCGAGTGATTTAATAGGAGAAGTTTACCTTAGATTTTGTAGAGGATTGTCATCATTTACTGCAGGTGGAAATCCAAACGATGAATGCGCTTCTTCCCAAAAATTATCCAATTGCTGTTGAGATACTTCATTTGTTAAATTATTGTTTCGCACAACAGTGTTTTCTCGTTCTTGTGGCTGCAGGTTTGATTGTAATTGCAAATTCGAAGAATACTGCGCTTCCACTCCACTTAATGAAGGCAAAGGAGTATTATCAGCTGCTTGATCCCGATTACGTTTGTCTTTCCTTTAGTTAAGAAACAAAAAGTTTTTGAACATTTCATTACAAATTTCTTACAAGTAATTTATATGCAATTACGTACAAATTGGTAGTATGAACACTGGATATAGTATTTCCGGATGCTGAATTTACAGCAGGTCCTGAAGCAGTCTCAGTCGCTTTAGAATTTCCTGATAATAAGTTTTGTCTGGAATAACTGAAAATGTATAAAAATGATGTACATCACTTTAAGAGTAAAGTTTTGTTCAAACTGTCCAAAATACCATGCTTAAGGAAGTGGAGTACTGTTAAGATGATAAAAAAGACAGCATGATTTGCAAAAATAAAAACACAACAATCGCCACAGTATGTGAAAAGCTACTATTATCGTCCATTGGACTTACTGGTTAGTAGAAAACAAAAATTTTTCATGTATTACATTACACATACTTTTAAAGATTATGCTACATACCCGTGATTTACGTACCAATAATACTATCCTCATTTAGGTTCATATTTACTAACCAATGGTCTACATAATCAAATTATGACAGGGTTTATGTGCGTATTGCTTAAACGAGGGTAGTAATTAAAAAGTACAAGACATAAAAGTGCATAGATAGACCGTGAAATTTATTACAGTATGTAATGATACATTAGATTTACACAAAGATGAAAGATTGATGTGCACAATCCAATTATATGAGGTACCTAAACTCATTAAAAATTGAAGAAAATCAGTTTGCTTCAATGATATCTAATTAAAAAAAACATCAATCATTTTATGTAGAGAAACGTAAGACTGATTTCATAAATAATACATGTTACTATATTTTGCAAATTTCTCAAATACATTACTGTAGTGAATGATTATGTGATCGAAAATCTTGTTTTGATTAATGATATCGTTGTACTAAGGTCGACAACATCTTCACTGCATTTACATAAATAATGATATCCGTATAGATTAACACATATATAGACATTCGTATATTCCATTACCTTCTGAAATTGTCCCAGTAGTTATTTGCCCTATTTCCAGGAGGAACTTGATTATTCAGTTGTTGATGCTGATGTTGAGAATTAACGGAACCAGTTGCAGTGGTATGGGACGGTGCGGGAGCTGAATTTGGCAACGATACCAGATTTGGTAAAGACGAGCTTGGTGGCAATGTAGAGTCTAATGTCTCGCCGAGGTGATGAATGTTGCGACTTATGTTCGAATATTCATCGTTATTCTCACTACTGTTCCGTTGTTGTAATTGGGTTTGCCTCAGCTGAGTTTGTAATTGTGTAATAGCTGTCCGCATAGCTTGTAATTCACGTTGCTGAGACCATAAAAGTTGACAGCATTGTTGTATTGTAGTACCCATCATTTGAAGTTGTTGAGCTTGAGAACCTAACAATAACTGGCGATAATACTCGGTTGAACCTGAGAATAATATTGACAACTTATTATGTTACATGAATATATGATAATTTTTTCTGTACCGTATATCTTACCGTGTTGTAATTGGTTTAACGGTGGCGGAGGGTGTGCCCACCAATTTGCATTAAGTCCATTTTCGATCGCTGTGGTTTGAGGTCCAATATCCATTAAATTCTCAGATATTCCATCCACGCTTTGATCGTTGGATCCTCCTATATGATATCGAAATATATTTTTAAGACCGTGAATAAATATTGCAACTATAAATAATATTTACTACCAATTGTTGTTAATGGTGGCCAGATATTAGCTGGAGTACTCGTATGACTAATATGTGAACTGGAACTTCTGTGGCTATTTAATTCGGTTGGTCCTCCCATATCGCGACCGACACTAGGCGAGGCTTCACTTTGTCGTTTTTTTCCTTGAGTAGATTGAACTTCAAAATTACTATTATTACTTTGTTTCTTTTCGGAACTGATTGAGGCTGTAAGCGATGGAGGCGGAGTTAAAGTTGGGTATATCGCTGTAGAATTAGACTGCATCGCTGACTGTGGCTGTTTTAATCGTTGTAACTCTGCCCTAGTCGATTGTAACAGTTCAGACTGTTCTCGAAGTTCTCGCGTGACAGCCTGTAAATTAAATTTCACCGCTGTAGATAGAACGAAAATTTTCATTATGTTTAGAATTATACCTGAATTTCTTCGACGCTTGGTCTTTCACCAATGTTTCTAATCTTTTCGTGACCAGTCTCATCATTATCACTTTGACGGTCGAACAAAACGTTCGCTCCATTTTCTTCTACGTTCCCATCTATGTCAACTGTGCTCTCACCGTTCATATCCACTTCTGGTTCTGGGTCGGAATTGGAATCGAGGCACTCGCGTACCTTTGTTGCCTCTTCCATTAACAATTTCAAATGAGCAAGTTGCGCTTTCATTGCTTCCAGTTCGGCTGCTTTGTCTCTTGCGTAACTTCTTGAACCTTCCGAACTCTAGAATACGTATAAATTGTAGTATACGATCACTCGTAAATACCTCAAATTAATATAATGATTAAAATACTAACGCAACTGCCCCTATCAGACATTTCTACAGCTTGTAACTCTGCTACGAGATGATCCATCGTTTTCTTCTTTGTTTGAAGTTGAGCTAATTTTCCCCTAAGCGCAGCTGTTTCCGATTCAAGCTGTTCAACATTAGCGGGTAATGGTAACGCTACCGTGCTTTGATTTTCTTGCTGTAAAAGAACTTGTTGAGCCTGACGTGCTTCATTTAATCTCTTTCTAACATGCATTTGCATGCCAACCAAGCTAGCCTGATGTTCCTGTAGCTGCGCAAGCTTTCTTTGTGATTCTTCCATTTTTCTGCGCAATTCTATTTCACGATTTACGTCACCGTTTTCTTCTCCATCCTCTCTATTATTTTCACCGTTCTAAAGAAAGAAAATATACTTGTAGAAGTCTTCACCATTACGACTTATCAAATTTTAAAAACCATTCATATACAAACTGATAAACATGGAATGTGATTTACGGATTTCAAACAAGCACGCATAAAATGTTATGAATAGCTTTTAGTTTAGTTAGTAGATAATAGATTTGTATGTTTAATAACCTCGCAAAATATTCCGCAATTTTTATATTGTTCCAACAGTTTAGTTAATTTGCTTTCACTGTCATAAAGATCCTCCACCATTCTACTTAACTTCTCGTTTTGAGCTTGTGCACGCTACATTGCAATTACAGAGATAGAAAAGTACTTAGTAATACAACAAAAATAACGAGATTTTATTCGAGATAAAAACGTATCAACTACGATTATTGTTCTGTGTACTTACCGGATCGCTGGATTGATTAAGCGAATCCATCATAGTCGATGTAACTCTGATATAATCCCTAATTTGACTTAAACGTGATTCCACTTGACTCCTATCAGGCTGCAACAAATTCATCCTGATTAAGTATTAATTTTAGTAAAATAATGACTGTTTATAATTTCAATAAATACGTATTACCATTTTGTCAACGTTAGAAGGTTTCGTTCCTTGGAGTCTTGGAGGAGATTGGGTTTCAGAATCAGTAGGTGGAACCATTTTGTGCCCGTGGGAATATTTGTCTACACTGTAATTACGGTGTCGTCGACTACCAAACGAATCTACCACAAATAACATCTTAATATTACTACCAAAAACATTACAAAAACGAGGAAATGAACAACTATAATTAAATATATACCAGGTTCAGGTATGAGTTGATAAGATGTGGATGGCACTGAAGAAGTTGATCTTGTGTTACTATTCTTCGTTACCCTTAAACGTTCCTGTTCACCAACCGGGTTCCAATTGAACTGATGCTGTCACATGTAATTTGTGAAAGAAAAAATATAATTCTATTTAGAGACAATTTCTTACAAATGATGAGTGAAATACTGAAACTCTACTGCTCAGAGGTAGAATTGTATCTGGATATGTATTCTTAGAGAGAACTTCCCCACTATTCAGTTATCTATTAATAGATTATCTTTTAAACTTCTATATCCAGATGGCTGTATAAAGTTTTCATTTAGAAAGTTCAAGTTACATCAAACTGAATACTTTATTTTCAATCCTCTGTGGAATTGTTAAATGACAATTTACTTTTAACACTCTTAAATGGAAACAACAAATTGTAAAAATGATTGTTGAAACTTACTAGAACTTATTCGTTAAAACATTTTATTCTCTAAATAATACTTAATATATCCGAGATAAAAAAGATATCAATGATATTGTTTGTTATTTTACCAAATTGTTAGAATGCTCAGCACATCCGTGATAAGCACAATGGTTTGCAACCTGACTGAGATATGCAGCCGACATTTCTCTATTTCTATCATTTCTTCGATTGCTTTTTGGAAGTGTGCCTGTATTCCGTGGGCCGTCGTTAATACCCGGCGACATATTCTCCTTTGTTTTGTTTCTTGCACAGTTCAAAAAGTATTTTTCTGATGACGACTAACCTTGCTGCACTTTTGTAGTATTTAAAGGTACACGATTTTCGAACAGAAAAATGTCGTTTACCTGCAAATATTAAAGAAACGACATTGTATGTGAACGTGCATTTCGAATAAACAATGCACAATTAAGAGATCATCTCGAGAAATTCTATACAATCAAGGCGGAAGTGTAAAAGTATGAATCGGTATTCACGAGCTTCTTACGTCAAAATACTTGGCAGGGCTATTAAGAAGAATCAGATACTATAAATAGTTAGGCCATTGACGTATCTACTATGACGATTAATAAGAATATATCGATTGCAGTTTCAAAATCACTGTTACTTTGTAGCTGCGGCCATTTTTAAATTACTTGTTTGACATGTTATTGTATACGATGTACGGTAAGTATACACAAGTAGATTAGTGAGATTATGATATAAAATTATAATACCATACAAAATATTTAAAACTACTACATAATTATTAAAAATTCCAACTTTAGAAACAATTATTCATAATATTGGTATAGTGCTTCTCTCGCTAGAAGGAAATGTTTTGCAAAGAAACGACAATTAATATACACTTTATGTAGAGGATTAAATGTTAACATTATCGAATATTCAAGTACAACATAGTATAACGAATTTAATTAGCTATTTTCTCGATGTCGACAATATATACCGATGCATCTCTGTTTATTTTATAAAACAGGAGTCAAATATTGGTTGCGCTACAGTTCGCTCCTTACGCTGATACGTGGCGGTACCTCGCAGCAAGAAGGGAATTAATGTGAGCGTATGCAGCCATGCCATTGCCACCACTTGCCGAGGCACGCTGTTTCACGCCTTATGGCCTAAGGGATTAATAATAAATAACTGATTCCGTCACATGTACGCTACTCCTACGTGCTCTAGTCTTTAGAATCTAGGCAGCACGTATGACAGAAGACATAGATCTTTATAGTGTCGCACATGCGACTTGCGTTTCACCGAAGTATCGTTCCCGTGCTACTGATTCGTTCAGGCCTCTGAAACGTTTCAAAAAGAAAAATCAAGCATTGAGAGCGAACGACAACGGGGAAATTTCGATAGCATTCAGGATCGGTTAATCGTGCTCGGCCACCGTATGTCTGCGTTAAGGCCAAGTGCGGAATCGTTCGTTTTCTTTTACGTCGGTTTGACACGGTTGCGGAACGGGCGTGTGCTATTAGTTAAGTTTCGTGTATAAGTGCATGCTGTGCAATTTTCTTGGAGTACGCTTGGATTTATTTCCTGACGCTGTGAAATGCTGACAAGCTGGCAACATGCTTACGGTAGCATAGTTGATACAGACACACGGCTTAGTACCTGTGAGTATTAATCGCGCATTTCATTCTTTGTTATACTGGAATATGTGTACGAAGTGTTAGAGGTTATATCGTGCACGTTCGTACATAACGAATTATGAATACAATGTGTGTCATATACCGATTTTTACATATGAACCTTGTAAAAACTAATTAGTAATTGAAAATTAAGCACGTAAATGTGTGCTGTTACTTTGTGGAAGATAAGCGTATAACTTTAATTCATGTTAAATATGTTTAATTTCCCGTTTCCCGTTCGTATGTTAATTATGAAAGTAAGCATACAATACATGGAAAGCTTATATACTTCTACTTAAGACTCAATTAAGGATTCATTAGATTTCTCTACTTCGATATACTTATTGAACATCTATGATGCACGTCCTTAAAAGTATACAATTAAATTTTTGTGATCAATTCAATCGCATCTTTTCAGTCAACTCATTTACCATTTACGTAGATACCTATAGTTAGACAATTATGTATTACAAGTTTATCGTTTGTTCCTTGGCTAACTTAAAACTGGGATTCGAGCGATTCGAATTGAAGGTGCATGTGTGTACAATATGCATAAATTACTGTTGACACGAATCAAAATTCCATCATGTACTCTCGTCATCTCGCGATTCGTATCGCGTACGCGCATCATTGCTAATTAGGTTCAATCAAATTACGCAAGGACGAAGTCGTCACTCGCAAGGAAGGCTGTAAAAATTATTCTTACTGCGCGTAGGGGGTATGATGAGACGAGATCTGAATTGTACGAATGTCATTTGTGTTTATGGAATTTTTGCTCTAGCAGGCTGAACGTTGCATTTCAGCTTGACTACTTGTTGCATAATGCATCGATCTCGGTGACCTAACTCAGCTATGCAACGTCTTTATACTTTGACGATTTGTTTCTTTACGTGGCACGCCTGCACCAATGGAATGATACAGAAACGATCGCGCGATACCTGGTACATAGATGCTTCTAAAGCATACACGAATGATCGATATTTCACGTTCCTTTCATTCAGCAATGTGGCATACTACTAGTGACCTTGGGATAATTTCACCGCGAATGATCGATAAATTAAATTTCAAATACTAAGGTCGATTCGGCCTATCATCTGATACTCGTTTCAACGAATCGCAACGCGGAATTGATTTTCACACAACACGCGAGACCCTCGTTGAAGCATATCCTTAATTGATTTTTGTGCTTCTTTGCGTCCAGCTATTCAGATCTAGGTCAACGTTTACAATCTGAACATTAAATAAACTTATTTACGTTCGTTGGCGTGCATGAAGTGGTTTTAACGTTAGTTAACCAACAGAATAGATCATCTTTGCGATTGATCGTTACCGATTACGAGGAACGGGTGCGTTTTGTTTAGTCCGGGCCGTGAAACGCGGAATAAATTTTCTCTCACGTGAATAGCATATGTCGCTGAACACCGGCCAGCTTTTTCGTTTGTCCCAATTTCGTACGGTTATTTCTGTGAAGAATGAGAACGACAGGTTTTTTTACGGCCTCACCCGAGAATCCATGCCAGTCTCCAAAAAATCTGGTTGGCAAAAATTCCATTGCCGCTCGTTAAATTGTATTTCCTGGCAGACGATTTTTAATGAATTCTGCCAACCAATTATAACGCGATCCACTTGGAAGTCCTTAATTTCTAGAAAGTTAGCTCAGTCGTTAAATGAGGGACATCGTCGCTGGACGTAAATATAATTTCGCTTCATTAGCTTGGTGTCAATGGTATTTAATTTTCAATATCAATTAGAATGCTCGCGTGTCATGTATTTACATCAACAGGTAGCTCGATATTCGTAAAAGGACGAATAGTACCGTTTCGATCACGTGTGGAGAACAGATGCTTTCGAAAACAACCTGTTTCAGAGCAGTTTGTACTAGATACATGATTGCGTTGACAACCAAAAGGTTCGAGCAGTGCCAATTACAAAAACGTGACTTGGAAGGGTGCCTGCACGCATGATTAAAATGTAATTTACCAGCACCAAGATATGCATTTCCGTTTCAAACATGATATTCGTTGTCATTAACGGTGACCAAAATCATTGGCATCCTGGATTTAGATCGTTGTATTCTATTTCGCTTCTATTTTCTCGAATACCTGTGTCGTTTCATTATAACACATCGAGATTACTAAAAAATAATAGGCCGCAACCTGCAATCGTAACGTAGATTTCATGTCTGAATTCTACAGTGTATTTAATAAAATGCTTCCTTTAATATAAAAAGCGAATCGGGTACGTTGTTACACGTGAAAAGAAATGGAATATAAACGGAATCTATTTAAAAAAATATTCCATTAATTTTGCTTTTTTTTTTAACTTAATATTTTATTTGATCTGATGGTAAAAAAGTATTCAACCTAATTTCGAAGAGGGTGCGACATCACATGCATGTCCTATCGGCAGATCGATGTTAATTTTAAACGTGAAAACTACGTAGCCGTAGTGGTGTACAATAGATATACGATATGTGACCAACACATACTTTTTCGCATACGCAGCGAGTGGGCAAACAATGGAAAGGACCGCTCCTTCTTGTACATAAGCAGATATGTAGTTACATCATTTACTCGTCTTAACCGTGGCCGATTCGGAAAATACAGATTCGGTTACACCCACGAGTCGGTCACTCTATTTCAGTGATCCTCAACCTTTTTTTCGTCATGATACACTTTTAACAATTTAAAAATTTAGCGGCACACTAACATTAAGATAAATTAAAACAGTTTTATTTGGTTTATTGATTGCTCTACCTATAATATATTTTGTAAATTATATTATATTATTGTATTAGCATAAGATTATAATTTTCAATGAAAACAATATGAAAATTGCATTACAAAGTAAACGAAATGTCTATTTAGTGATAAATTATAAATTACATTTAACGCGAAATTTGAGTTTGATGTTTCTTGATAACCTCATTTATATTTGGGCGTAAAAATGATAATGCTACTTTCATTTCGTGATCCAGTTTTAGAAGTCTGGACCTTTTTTTCATTTTTATGTTGATCAAAGTCGAAATTCCGAATTCGCCAAATAAATATTTGGACTGAATATAAGGTTAATTGATAAAGAAATCTAGAAAAAAAACAATTTTCATTTCGGGAGGAGCCACCGCCTAGCAGTAGCGGTGGCCTCTCCTGAACGTGCCGCGGCACACTGGTTGAGAATCACTGCCCTATTTCGTTGGTTTGATCTCAATTCACGTACGGGAGATTTTACTTCAGAGAATTGGAAAGAAATGAGAGGTCTGGTCGGTTGTCGCAACTCTTTAACGACTCAACGTATTCTTTTTCCAAGTAATTGCGAATCGATATACATTTCCCCGTTATGACTGATACCCGAGAAGATAGCCGAGAAAACAGCCCAGAGTTGTAATCGTAGACGGAATTTTGTGTGAAACTCGATGCGGTGCAACGCGGGGTTGGTGCGTCACCCTAGGCGCAAACTGGAAAAGTGTACCTCTGCTGAATGCGATAACAAGTAAAATGAAAGACGCAGCGGGTATCGTGAAAGAGGGTACGGCCGTTCTCTCTGAAAATCGATGAGCACGAAAGTCCTCTAGAGGATTGACATTTTCATGGATAAGTTCTGGAGTCTAAGAGTGTAACGTCCTTTACGAGTCCTGTTGACCCGGCTCCGCCTAAAGGCCGATCCGTGGAAAGCTAATGGATTTCAGATAGGCTATATTCTTGCGATTCATGACTGCAAGACCGAGGTAGGCTAATTACTCGAGATCGATGGAATTCAATTATTCGACGACCCCGTTGATCAAGCTATTTCTTGGAGGTGCCCATCGATCGTTTTGTATCTATTATATGTGGAACCGCGTTTCCAGTTATCATCGATATTTCTTGTCATATCGTACACAAGCTTTCGTTGTTTCACGTTCGAAGAATACTGTTTCGATGTTCAGAACACTAAATCATGGTTACACCATAAAAAGAGTGGTAATAATGTAATTGCCGTGTGAATCTTTAATTTTTTCGTATGTTCAGTGTTCTCTTAC